ACACACACACACACACACACACACACTAACACCTTTAACACTAGAGTGGGCACTGGGTTTAAAGACATCTGTCTGTCTGTTTGTAAGTGGACACACATGAGGATCGAATTATTGAGCACGCTCACATTTGTTTCTAGGAGGTTTGGATTGATTCAGAATATTATTTTGGTATCTGATAATCTGATAAGGAATACGTGTCTCAACAGTCCTTCCTACTCTCTCTACATCAATAACTCTCTGTATATCACTCAACTTTACCATCTGTCTGGCTCTGTTCTATATATATACAGTATATAAAATTTATCTGATCAGTATTTTTGTCTTGGTTTCCGCTAAAACATATCTAAACAACCATAAAACAAGATACATTTACTTGAGAAAACCATTTTGTTTGTGTTTGTGCAGTGTTAGCGTGCTTCTCTTCTTTATATTCTTGTTTACTGACATATGTTCTTTCCCCTCACATAATTTTGTCATATACACATCTCCTTGTGTGAATCACATTAAAATGCAGATCCTTTTTATACGATTCTTGCCTGTGCACACATTTTCCTCCATCTCCGGCTCTGTTCTGGGTCCGTCCTCTTCCTGTCATCCATCACTTTACAGTAAAAATGACTCAGCATATACACACAAGAATAACCTATGAGCAATAATATCACTGACATTCATGGGCTCTCTCCACCATATGCTTAAAGGGTGAAAACCGATATGATTATACAAACCCTGTAAAATCTCAAATGCACTGTCAAATTTGATTGTGGCATCTAAAGGACAATATGTGACACTTACCATGCATTGTTTCTTATTGACTAACTTCAAAGGAGATTGTTCTGTTGTGTTTTGGTAATTAACTCTTCTTATTACATGTCATGTGGTGAAAGGATGCAGGAAGGTCCAGATGCTAATAAATCTGTTTTTGTTTTTTTTAATGTGTGTGTATGTGGAAAATAATGTGTTTTTTTTACTTTAAACCGCATAAACACATTTCATTACACCAAATACACAAAATAATGTTCTTTTTAGCAGCATCATATGACCCCTTTAACATTATGTTAAACTGCATTTTCCCCCTTAAAGTTTAAAAGGATGTCTGTAGTTGAAATGATCACATACTACAGATTTAAAAGTTACATTTCAAAAGCAAATGAGTCATTTCTCCTTTTGTGGTGGCAAATTCTCATATTAATAGTGTTCATTGACTTTAATAATGCAATTAAATCTCATGTGTGATACACAGGATAATAAATATAAACCGATATATGCATGCATATTGATTACAGCTTTTCTCGATTGCTAACACACTATAACAGATTCATTTGGCCCAATTTTCCAAACCATTCATACAGTTCTTGAAACAAAGACACGTTTCTCAAAACTTTTAACACATTTCACCTGTTTGCACACACGCTTCAATTTGTTCAGTGTTTTCTGCAAAACTCTACACAAAAACGCCATCATTTTGCACAGGTTTAGCCATGTTCTCATTCAGAAAACACAAACTATAATTAACTCAAGAGCACAGCTGATTATGAGTTTTGGAAAATGAATCCTGGTAGTGGGAGACAAAGAGGAATATGAGGGGAAAATAATAATGAAGGGGATGAGGTCAAAGGTAATTTGTTCCTGTTGAAATACAAAGCACTATAGTTGAGCATGTTCTTCTGCATGGACTGACCATGAGGGAAGTTGGCCTACAGGCTCATCTAAAAGGTTTCAAAACTACTTACACAATACACTTACAATATAATTACAGTACATAGTAGCAGTACTTCAGATGAGAGAACTTTCATTATTCTATGTACAGTAAATACTGTAGTACATGTTGTACACCCTCAAACTCGTTACTGTTGGATTTATTTGTACCCAAGTAGTCCTTACACGTACTTTATTTGTGCAGAACTGAGAGACGACTGTCTAGGGGAGGCAGAGAAGTCTTTTGTCAGAAGACTAAGAAACTGCTGTAACAAATAAGTATATTACCAATAATGTAATGCAACTTGGTAGAGGATGCTGAATGAATGAATTTATTTATTTATTTACAGTAACTGACAGTATATTCCAATGTGTGATTACTGTATATTCTGTTGTTTGGTTTTTGAACTTTTCTTTTCTAGTGTTTTTAATTTACTGTAAGATCTCTTTACAGTAGTGTAACAAAAGTAAACTTTTCTTACAGTTTAATGCTGAATTGTACTGTATTTGCATCCCTCTATTTACAGTTTTTCTGAATTGCTAAAACACTAAACCGCAATCTCTAAACCAAATTCTCACTAGCATAAACCAATTTTTCGAATAATGCACTCTTTCTGCTAAACTTTAAACACATTCAGGCAGTTAGGCTCTATTTGCAAATCTCATGCACTCTTTTTGCAAAACTCTAAACACATTCTCATTCACTTAAACACTTATCACACTGTGATGCATTTGTGCTGCAAAATGCTAAACACAAGCGGCAAAAGTTAAACACAACTAAAGCACAGTTGTCATCGTTTACACACAACTATTCAAAATTGTTCACACTCGTTTCTGATGATGTAATCAAACCAACTGTACAAAATATGAGCCAGTTCAGAGTGCACAAGTGGCACAGGTGACTGAATGATGATATGAACAATAGATGGACACAATCTGAGAAAGAGAGGAGGAAGAGTACATGTAAGAAGTGGAGGATGAGGAGGAAGAGTAAGGTTTAGAGAGTGTTATCAAGGCTGGTTCCCTATCGATACTTCACTCGTACTGCGTCTTGCTTACAGTTTTGTAACTGTACAGTTCTGTACAATTGCTTAAGCACAATTTTGAAAACAGGGCCCGGTTTTTCAAACCCCTTCACACAATTAGCACAACACTACACCAAAGTAGCACAACACCTCAGATAATTTGCAAAATGGAACACTTTTGTCAAAACTATACAATGTCTTATAAAAACCTTATTTTGTTGTCATAACATAAACACAACCATCATATGGTCTGTCCTCGATGGGGTTTAGGAAGGGGGAGTATGGTGGAAGGTATTGAACTGTAAATTGTGGGTGTTGATGAAACCAGTTTTGGACCAGAGCAGAACGATGGAAAGCTACATTGTCCCAGATGACAATGTATTGCATCTGGTCCCTTTGGTTTGCTGCTGTGATGATATTGTGTAATCTGTCTAAAAATGTAAGAATGAGGTCAGTGATGTAAGGACCCAAGTTGGCATGGCGGTGGAGGACCCCATTCTGTGTAATGGCAGCACAAAGGGTAATGTTACCCCCACGTTGCCCTGGTACATTGACAATAGCCCTGTGGCCAATGATGTTTCTTCCCCTTCTTCTCACTGTTGTCAGGTTAAATCCAGCCTCATCAATGTATATACACTCAAAAACATTTTCCAGTTTTCATACAGTATTACTGAACGTACCATTGTACTGTAAGCTTACAGTAATACTGTAACAAATTACATATCCAGTTCAGTACCGAATAAAAAAATAAATAAAAACCTAAACATCTCTCCGCCTAGCTGGATCTGGCCACAGGGCCTCGTCAACATCACAGGCTATATTTTCATTTGCAAGGCAACGTGGGAAGAATCTTTTGGAGTGACGAATCCACCCTTGTATGGATGCTGCTTCAATTTGATCTCATGCTTCCTCCATAGCTTGAATGAGGGCCATCTGGACATAGGGCCGGAGATCATAAACCTTCCATTACCATGCTGAGAAGAAATCCTCGATGGGGTTTAGGAAGGGGGAGTATGATGGAAGGTTATTACATGGTCCACAATTGTAGCACGAATTTCGTTACACAGATTTAGTTGTCTTCTTCTTTGTGCATGTCCTATCCCTCCTCCAGGTCTTCCTCTCCCTCTCGCTCTCCCTCTCCCTCTCCCTCTTCCTTGTTCTCTCCGGATTCCCCCTCTCATCCGCAAGTGCGT